GGGCGAGGCGCGGCGTCTTTCCCCCCGAGCTGCTGCCGGTGGTGCTAGTGCGTGGGCGGCGGCCCCATGGAGCCGGCAGCGCGGCGGAGCCGGCCGGGGGAGGAGGGCGAGCTCCCGCAGGAGGCGGCAGCAGCAGCGGCGGAGGAGGAGGAGGTGGATCCCAGGATCCAGGTAGGGCGGCGGAGCTGACACCTACACACTGCGGCCCCGGCCCCGGCCCCTCGCACCGCCCCCGCGCTCGCCCGCTGCAGTGCTCCTCTGCCCGGGCCCTGCCTGCGGTCCCTTCCCGCCGCCTTGGGTGGACATCTCCTTGGGGCGGAGATGCTCTGCCGCTTTCTCCCTGCCCGACACAGCGCCGGGGCAGGCAGTACCCGAGAGGGGCTCAGCATGGAGCTGGGGGGTGGCAGAGCAGGGTATGAAATAGGGTATATTCCCCCCTCCCCCCACAATCTGCTACGTTTAGCAAGCGAATTTCTTACATTGTTAAGGCGCTTTCAGGGCGAAGAAGCCCTTTGGCTTGGCTCTCTTGGGGTGTCCTTAAAATGCTCCTCTGTTCTTGGTTTTTTTTTTTTCTCCTTTTTCCCCTCCCCTCTCCGCAGAGCAGGTCACCTCAGCTCTGTATGCTGGCCACCTGCCTGGCAGGAGGTTTGCGCAAGTCGTGGTCCTACAACAAGCCACCCCTTGGCTTAAATGTGCTGGCCTGCTGATACTAGTCGGATCGCTTGCCGTGCCTGCGAAGGCCTAGGTCAGGGGTCGACAGTGTTTTTGGACAGTGCCAAAAATGCCCACAAACTTGGCTTGTCAGATGTTGGCATGCCAGGGCAGATAGTGGGGGAGCTGTGAGGGGCCTGATCCTTGTTGTGGCAGCGCAGCCCTGGCCCCTTCCCCACCATCCACCCAGAGGCATGCGTGCCAAAGCAAAATGCCTTCGCATGCTGCACTGTGGCACCCATGCGGGGGGTTTCCTACCCCTGGAAGTCTTTGCAGGTTTGGGGCCTAGCTGCAGGGTATCATGGGCCATTGTTACTATTGTCTTGGCCTTTTGGCTAAGATGAAGCAAGACAAGCGGCATCTGCACCCCAACCCCCCATAGGCCTAGGGCTTGTATATAGGATGCCTGCCTGGATTTGAGGGGTCTCCAGAGCCCCAGACGGAGGGGACTGGGAGAGAGGATACTTGCCAGGTGGTAGAGCCACACAGACTTGGTGAATGAGTTCTGCTCAGTTGAATTTTGGAACTTGAGTATTGGACTTTGCCCATTTAAATTTGCAACTCATTTGGCCTTGATAGAGATAAAAAAAAAATCTTTTTTTTCCCTAGAGATGTTCAGAATTATGGCAGAATTTGCAAGCACAATTGCCCAAAGATAGGTCCAAGCTTACAGCCCCTCTCAGCATGCGTGTGTAAATGGCTTGATTTTCTCCCCTAGCTCCCATTGACTTCAATTTTAGCCTTGGGTTCTTTGATTTGGAACATGCCTCCATTTGTCAGATCCCTGGGAGCCTGATTGAATGTTGTTAATGAAATTGCATGCTTTTTTTCATTATCTGGTTAAATTTTTGTCATCTGGTTAAATGTCTGTTGTCTCCCAAATGTTAGAACAACTCTTTATCATGAAAGAGCTATGTGAGGTTGGTGTGTCAATAAACTGTTTAATAGAAGGAAATTGTCTTTAAAGTGCTGGTAGTCTGGCATAATCTGACAGTTGAATTGTCAGAACCAACCTTTCTAGTTTTTTGGTTGTAACCAGAGTAATTCTTGTTTAAAAAACAAAAAAGGAAAAAAAAAAGGTGATCAATTTATGATGCCATTTAATTGATAAAATTGACTATTCAAGACCTGGTTTTGATACTTGGATTCATAGAGAATAGTGCTTGACTGGAGAGTCATGCTCCGGCCATGCAAGGAGTAAGTGTTATTGCTCAGATAAGTAAGGATATCAGAACATGGCCTAGAGGGATATCTCTTAGGGAGGAATGTCAAGATCTGTGGTTGTGTAATAACTCTTGCCTCCTATTCATTCATAGTAAAGCCAATAGCAAATATTTAATTTACAGACTGATACTTTAGTTTTTGTTTTTTTGGACAAGCAATTTTTGGAATAAAAGGTAACCAAAGAAAGTCTGGCCTCATTGACTTGGTGTTACAAACAGTTGTCTTTTAACCAAAATCTCCACCTAACGGCCTCTGAGGTACAGTATTGCAAATTACTATACATGCTTGTGAGGAATGTTGTCATAAGATTTTGTGAGTGTGCACATGTAATATCTCCTTCCCTACTACTGTGAAAGCAAATGGCCTCGTCCTAAAAACTGCTTCCCTGGGAGCTAACTAAATTTTATATAATGAGACAAAGGTTATTATACGCAATATTTATACTACATAAAAATTACCCAGGAAAAGACATGTACTTTCTTAAAATTAGAATACTTAAAAAATGTTTCTGTACTTTTATATCTTTTTTCTAGTTAGACATTGAGTTTGAGTGGCAGATTCTTCTAAAGGTCTTGGATCTTTGTTTTCATTTAACTTTCCACACAGAGGCCTTGTATGCTTTTAAGCATCATCTGGCATTGCTATAATACCTTTCCTTCTCAGTGATGTTCATTTCCAATTTCTCAAGTGTGCCTGTTTTTTTTTTTCTAGGGGGAACTGGAAAAATTAAATCAATCCACAGATAATATCAATCGAAGAGAAACTGAACTTGAGGTACAGAACTTCTATTTTTTTTTGGTCCAAAAAAGGTTTATGTGAAAAAATTGCCTACTTTTTATATTTTAACTGTTGTGGGATTGTCTGATTTTTTTTTTTTTTTTTTTT